AATAGTCTATATTCACATTACGACATTACACGTGTGGCTTCCTACATCATCAAGTATACATTTTCAGTGATATCCATTAGCGAAAATGTGTTTGGATAAATTAATTGTGACATCATATAAATAATGCGTTGACAATATAACAGGAAGACAACAAGACAGTAGACATCTCGTAACTCAAACTCAATACAAAGTTTTTTAAGCACATATAAATCTTAAAATAAAGATGATTGTCTCATGAAATATTCAACTTATTTATTTATATATTTTACTTATTTCGGATTTGGGCTTGACTTCTATTAGCGAAATCAAGTCGCAATACTTCCTTTCTTGACTTCATAGCCACAAAATTAGACGTTTAGGGGGATGCTGAACTACTGCCTTAGTTGGTCTATGTTCACAATAGTTTAAGTTATGGTCCCTAATATCGCTTCTAGTTAACAGCGCCTGTCAAATCTCTAATGTGTCTCTAACTTAGGGGAAAATTAATTTTGTCGAGAAACAAAAATTATAATCAACTTTTTTTTGAAGATTCCATAATTCAAGACAAGGCATGAACTTTCGGGTCTCAAAAATCCGTCACGTTCGACCGGGTTTTAACCTGCTCAACAGATCTCTTGAACCTAACCGCATCGCTATTGGCGACGGATTTATTATCAATATTAACAACAGAATAAAATATCGATATATTCATGTTGTTGAAGCAAGAGTATTGATATATCCAATATCGATTTGTTCGTAACTCTGATGTAAATTATGTGAAATCACCTGTAAAATACGTGAATTTTACCTGACATACCATGATATTTTATAGTATATCATTAAAGTAAACTATAAACATTTCCATATACTTTAAGATATATAACGATTTTAAGAGATAAATCAAATGAATCGGAGAAACGAACACATTGAAAATATAAATGTATATGATTGTTACAGTAATCTTTGTATTTTGATAAATACCAACAATCAAATCACCAACAATCCAATTAATCTTTGTATTATTCTCAGGTATTACGCAATATACTTTTTGACACTGATACTGAGTTTGGTATGAATACTGTGGTATTATTAGTTCTTTGATATTGATCTGAAAATGTCAGAACAAAAAATACTCAATTATAAGATTTATCGAAAGCTTCTCAACGGTCAGCCGCACTAGATAGGTTTTAAGAACGGGCAGATTTACAGGCGGGTTTAGTGTCCAAGCGACTATGAATAGCAAAGGGGTAAAAGTATTCTGGTTGAAACAACTCAACACATTGTAATGTATTAGGAATAGTACTTATTTTTGATAGGGTTGCCTTTAGCCTTTCAGGTAGCGTCAGCCATCCCGACACATCACAAATCTCCCCTCTCTCTCCTCGGACCTCAGAGGTCAGCACTGTGAGGGTAGTATTGGCGAGGAACCCACAGACTTATCTCGGGTACCAGATAGCCGGCGAGGGTCAGGGATTCTCAGTCCGTAAGGAAGGTTTGGAGGGTGATAACATTGCCAGCCTCGTCGTGTCATAAAACATAACATTCAAGCCTTTTGCGGGATTTGAACTCTAGAGCTTTGTATAATGAATACGTGAACACAGCTGATCTATACCATCAGGTCAGCAAGGAATGGATTGAATAGTTGAAAGGGTTGATTGGAAGAGCCCCATCATGCCTCATGAGAGAAGCAAACACCCGTGCATCCATGCATCAGAGAAGCAAACATCCATATTCAAACCCTGTCCCTTCAAGCTGCGTCAAGCCAGGCGCTCCCATTTTATTGATCTCGATTACGCAGGTCGGCCAACTCAGCCTCCCAGCAGACTAAGTGGCAAGATGACGTTTTGGGTAATTTATTACTCTGAATAATGTGATAATTAATTTGCTTTGAGGAATTTTGAAAGGTATTAAAACAAAATTTCAGTTAATTTGTTTTTATCAACAGTTGTAGAACACTTGAGCATGTTCACTTCTGTAAGGAGTAATGTTGATACTCGTATAATCTATTTGGTACAGCCAACGTTCCTCATAAACTTTAAGTTCCTTTTCGTTTTTAGTCAAAAATTTCCATTTTTCAAAATTGAGTTTCGTTTATTTCTATTTCATGACATTTTGCCGTTAAAAATGATTAAATTGCTACAGTTATTTGTAAAAATTATCCTAGTTCACATTTGATTTAGTAAAACGTTAAAGAACTGTAATATAAAAACGTATAAATTAAACAATAGTTCACGTGATTATATTAAAAAACAACAATCATATTGAACCAAAAACAAACATGTTTCCATGTTCGCAACATTATTATTATACATTTGTCCTCCTTTTACGTTGTTCAAAGTAGTAAATATTTTTCCTTGGTTGACATAGTTCATTTTGTTTCGTAAATTGCATATATTCATTACATACATTCCTTAATTGTGTATATTATTTATAGACAGTTTGTTGCCTCATCCGATACTGTGAATTAATATAAAAGTATATCTATATTCTTGTATGATTCGTTACATTTGGGATACTATCGAGAAAAAAATACAAGCAGTAACTGAATCTTCGTCTAATTCATGATCATTTCATGAAACGTCAGGTCCAAAGAAACAAGGTCTCTAAGAACGTAGCTCGTCCGCAAACGCCCTGCGCGTGTTTGTCGTTTCAACCCGTTTCAGCCGCAGCCCTTGACGGAGAACATCGTCCGTCAATCCGGGCGTGTTCACCGGAAACAGATGAGTTGCTGTCAATAGCGCGTTATTTCAGCGTCGTGAGAACGCATGATGGATGTAGCGGACGGCCAGCTATTGGTTTTCCCTAGTCATCGGCCCGCCTGGCAGCTAAAGAGGAAGCGCGTGATTTTTATATTCCCCTGACTGGTGAGAGCGAGTGGGCGTATGTTTTGAAGAACGCCATCGGTGCAGTTATTCTGGGGTAGTATCTAGTTTTATTATAACTTATTTAAACGCGATGTATCTTGTTTGTGAAAAGTTATCACAAGATGATATCATTTGTGTTCTGGAAGAGAGGAATTTGAAAATCGATTATTCAAAGACAAAATATGTAATAATTCATGAAATTTACTTCATTTAAAAAACATCTAACATGTAAAAGAAACGGAAGCATATTACTTAAAACATTTCAGATGTTCAGGGTGTTGAAAAATAATTTGCTGCAGTCTGCATTCGTTTTAAAATTTTTATTTGAAAGTTCTTGACTTCATTTTTCTGACAACGCATATAATTATTTCATTTTTTCTGCTAATATTTTTTATAAGCGCATCTAACAAGATTACCAAACAAAGTGTGAAAAATATTGAATGCGCAAATGGACATAATGCATGAATGTATTATAAGCATTTTTATTTCTCGATTTACTTTACGATTCTGTCTTCAAATTGTGATAAAGAAAGTTAGTTTCTACTTGAGGAACAATATTTATCAACTTTTTCGGTGTCGTGTATCTCCTAAACTTGTTTTCCTGCCCCCAAATCGCAGTTTTTTTGATGCTGCATTACAATGCTTTCTCTATACTGTTAGCGGTATGCGTGAAAGTAAAAATAATATAAAGACTGGAAATGTCTGCATAGTATGTCAAGAAATCCAGAGGTTTATGCTTGAAGAGTATGAAAAAGGCGCGTGTTTGAAGAAATAACTACATGAAAAGTATAGAGAACTTTAAAGATAAATCTTTCTTTATTCTCGACTAGGAAATTACATGATGAAATACAAGTACGAGAATTCAAGGACATAACAAGATGCCGTTTGTAAACCATTTTTAATGACCTAGTGTTCAAGAATTCAGACTACTAAATCAGGATCTTTTGCGCTCTGTAGAATTAGGTTTCAATGGGCGAAACTATTTTCATTGAAGTGTGCATAGTATAGTAATAAATGCATTATTTGAATACACGTCTTCTGGTATTACTTATACTTGTACTACGTATTATACAATTACGTATACTTCAAGCAATGCATTAAAACAATGTAACTTTTTACATTTTATGAACAATATCGATGGTATTGTATCTATCTAATGCTTGCATTAAATTTCTGTTTTTAGAAATTGTAAGGTAGGTTTCAAATAAATAGCAAACAACGTTTTATTATTTGAAGAGAATTGGAACACGAGAAACCGGAACTAAAACATATACAATTATTTATAACTCTTTAAAAGGTATTTAAATTCATAACAAGATACAGTATTTTTGAAATTTAAGATCATTATAATTTCATATATGCATGAAAGATATTTTGGCAAATTAACATATAATTGCAAGGATTTATTTTTAGAATATACTATAATTAATAAGTATAAATACTACAGGAAACAAGCTATCGTAGCAATCGGTTTGAAAATTGCACTGAATGGAAACGCAAAATAATTTGTTACATCTTCACATTTTGAAATAATTAAGCATTTCTTTAAAAATAAACACGTGGAGAAAACTATATCAGTGCAATTTTAAAGTCGGGAGTTACAGATAATGTTATACAAGAGTTGTACAAGTGGTAGAAAAGCATGCGGCTGTTCATAGGAAGTAAATCAGTTAATATTAATATGCTTAAAGTTAACTTCTCTGTTTAGGAAGAAGTATTAAATTACAGTTTACGACACATTTATTTAATTAGTTACTTCCAAACTGCAAATGTGTTTGTGAAACCTCATTATGTCCGCATTTCATGCGTAAAGTTTGTTCTCACATGCATAGCCTGCGCGTATTTTTATTTCATACTTCTTAATGTATTCAAATTGAATATGTATTGCCTGCTCCGCACAACAAGGTGGCGCCATAAGGCCAAGAACAAACAGCCGACTGCCAAGGGAGATGACTCACATTCATATGCTACTCACGTAAAGTACACACGTTGTATGTTTCCTTTCCCCTCCCAACAAAAGTAAACCGAAAAGAAACTCCCAGGAGCTTGTTGGAGGGGGGTTCGTGGCTGGGGTGGGAGGAGGATGAGCAGGCAGCCTGTGGCAGGGCGGGCAGGCAGTATCTGGAAGTTCCGCTTGACCGCAATTGTCTCCCGGAGGAGGGTCGGCGGGGCGAATCAATAATAATCCCTTTACCTGCGGGAGATGCCCCGGCAAGTGGCAAATAAGTCACGGAAGTTTTTCGGCGGCGCCGCGGCAACCGCCGGGCCCCGCCCACCTCCCCTCGCCAAGGGCTTCGCCGGCCGCAATCCCGGGGAAGTCGGCGGAGGGCGGTGATTTGTGGGCTGCGGAGCGCGGGGGCACTTTCAATTCGTAAGAAAGTTGCCGCGCGCATGAGAGGTGGCGGCGATAGCGGGTAGGTTGGGCCTCGGGTGGCGGTGGGGAAAGGGGCGTGGCAGAGGCGATGATGGTGGTGATGGCGAGGAGAGCGAAGGGGGAAGTGGGATTGATGACAGGGCAATGTGTGGGGGTGGTGAAGATGATGGTGTTGATGTGCGTGGTGTTGGTGTTGTTAGTAATAGAAGTGATGTATCTGTAGGTAGGGATTGTGCTGATGATGGTTATTGGTGGTTTTGGTGCTGGTGATGACGGTTGATTGAGTGATTGTTTACAGGCACGTCAACTGCTATGGTTACTAGTTCCGTCAATGGAGTGATTGTTTTATCGCGTTCCTCTCCCGTACTGTGAGTACTTGTTAGCTTCTGGGGAATTTCCCACCTAGGTATTTCCACAAGCGGGGCAGCCGCAGCCGAGGCGTTCCCTAAGCTTCCGATTGGTCTTGCGACATGTAGTGTAGGGCATTTAATTTCAAATGCGTGTGTGTATATGGCGAGAGAATATCACAAGGAAGTGAAAGGAATGATTGCGCGTTTAGGGTAGCGCTCCGGTGTTTGCTTGAGATTGATCAGATAAATCACGGGAAATTTCGTATCAAACCAGCCGGGAACTAGAATTCTCCTTCAGACAGCGGCTGAATTCGATCTAGTTATATAGCCAGGGTCGAAAATCCACAAATCGGGATTCGAATCTTAGAACCTCTCGATCAGAATCGCTGCAGAGAGAGATGTAACATTGAGCGAATGTAGCCGATGTGATGTTTGTGGTGATGATGGTGGCGTGGTGGATGTGGAGACGGCGGCGGCGACCGGCGATGTCGGCCTTTATTGGCGATGGTGAAGGTGGTGATGGAGGCAGTGGTGGTGGGGCATCACCCGCTCCCCCACTTCCTTCTTCCTCAATTGACCTCCGGGCATAGAACGCACAGGGAATGTGAACTCCGGGAGACAATGGTCAACTTGGATACTTTGAGTTAATGCGTCGAACCCGTTTCAATGAATGGAAGCTATTCCTGTTATAAATCATACCCTCTACTCTATGACGCAGGAAATAGTTTCGTTAAACACCGGAATAATAATAATAATAATCAATAATATCAATAATAAAAGATATGAAATGGAGATAAATATTTCCATTTACGTACATTTTATTTTCATTTTCAGATATATTTATATGATGTATCGTGATGTATTGGCTTATATTGTATTTAATATAGTAATGTTTTAGACGTGTAAGGAAAAATGTATTTAAGAAATAACAAAAGTCCAACAATGTATATTCAATTTGAGCTTTAACAATTGTGTTTTTTCAGAACCACGTTCAAATGATAGAAAATTCTATCTTACTTATGTTTTGATTTTTTTGGAAACATTTTAATTCAAAAATAAATAAAACATGACGTTTAGTTGAATTTCAATTATTACTCCTACAAATACAAATTTGCCGTGTCGATATGTTAAACACTGTTTAT